CTTCGGTTTTTTTTAGCAAATTTGGGGCCTATTACCATGTGAAATAAAAAGAGTAATTTGTCAGGGAAAATTGCAGCGTCCACCCTATTTCTAAGTTACCCCACAACCAACCCACAATGAGAGGGCGGTCGCACCATAACTTCTATAATATTTTTTTTCAGATGTGGTTTGTATCTAGTGTTAACTTTTAACGATCAAAATAAGCCACACATCTAAATCTTGCTAAAACATGTCAGTTGGGTGCCAAAAACACTTTTGATGATCTAAGAAACTATTTAAACACCTGATTATAAAATTTTAAAGCTCCACAAATGAGGTAGATCAAGCAATAAACTCTATTTTTTTTCAATATAGACAGCCTAGATAATATGTTACAAGATACATTATTTTTAAGACTAAAATTTTTTTTTTTCTTCTTTATATGCATTCCTCTTAAGGCCTAGATAATAAATTGTAGGGTTTTTTAATGCCAAAACAGTTTCTTTTGGATGGATTATTGAACCGTACCTTTTTTCTATATTATAAAGTTGATATTTTATATAAACTTTTCCCACCTCTAACCCTCTCTCCCTCTCAAGGGCAGCCCACTTCTAGCTTACATGTCCTTTGAGCACTTGATCCCAAAAAGATGTTAATGGTTATAGTTGATTGATCCATTTCACAAACAAACCAAACATACCCAACGAATGTAAACAAAGAGTTATAAAAAAAAGGCATACGGAAATTCGAATAAGGTGGTACTAGCTATTAGATATCAAATTTGGATAGCTTGAGGTGTATTACAAAGTTTGAGAATTTGTTTTTTTGAACTTGAAGTCTAGTTACTCAAAACCATCAAATTTTTGAACTTAAGAGTCTAATTACTCACAGCCATCAGATTTGATGGATAAAATTTTTTGTGACCTCCTTGTATTTAAAGTAAATGATCTCTTTACATACTTTTCCTTCAGAAATAACCCAAAAAGAAGAAAACTGTAAAGATAACTATTCACCACCAAAAATCTTTTCTAATTTTTGCCAAAATGAAAGAAAAACATAAAAAAAAATAATAATTAACTACATAAATTTACTACTTATATATATATATATATATATATATATAGTGTAGGAGAGAGAC